ACTGAAAATATATACAGAAAACAGCATTAGTATATATTTTAAGGTAGCGAGACTATTAGTTGCATACCGGTATTTGTTTCCATCTTCTAATTGTGACTAAATGACTACAAAAAGAACCAGGATCCAGTCTATTTTTTTGGAATTGCCAGACTTCAGGCTTTTCAAAAGCTGTATTTTTCAGGACTGTATCTGCATTCTACGAGGCGTTACACACTCAAATGTAAAAAAATACTTTTCCTGTGAAAAACATATTTTTTTTTTTCACTTTTCCTAATTGTTCAATAGTCTGCTAAATTAAATGTGTCTTGTCAGTTTTAATCAAGCCACGTGTTTTAAAAAGTAGCATGCTGAATTTCAGTTTGTCCCAACTCAAACGACAACAAGTTGGTGAATAATCCACGAAATAGTTTGTCTGGACACATTTAAGTTCCTCTCATTGTCACCTTAAAGCTGTGAAATTTAGTGTTAACTCCTACAAAACGTTGATAAAGTTATGGCGACGATTTTCAAGCTTGTTTATCGGCGCAACCGATTTATTTTCACATCAACATTTCACATCAAGGAATGAGATAGCTATAAACAAGAACACCAAAATCATTAAAGTGGCTGTGTGACCTTGTGTCTGACACATTGATATGCAAATGACTAATCTGTGAAACAAACAGGGGCGGAGACCAATCACTCAAGTGTTTGTAAACACTCATTCCATGTCAGTCAGGTCCTATTTTCGCACTAGTGTTTTTGACTGAACTCTGTCTCAATATGAAAGAACCCCATTTTCTGTTACTTGTTTGAATTCATTGGTGGAGAATAAACATTGCATTGTATTGAGTTAATATTCTATCAAAGTCGAACTACTGCTCTTTATGCCGGTTAAACAGTAGATTATCTCCAATGCGTTTGCACAGTTGGGGCCAAACGTTCAATTCAGTTCGATCACGAAGAGCTGAACGGAACAGTGCCCCCAAATAATTAGTATGAAAAAAAACATGGCTGAAAACAATTTTGGTGTTGTTACTTTACATGGCACGATGCTGTTGAGCTGAGAGAAAAAAAAAAGAAACTGTCATGAGTCTGAGCATGGAGGTACATGTAGAAAAGACAATGCACTGGTGTTACGATTTAGGAAATGGTATCTCGATTACCGGTAAACAGGAAACATAGTTGGGCCCTAATGCATATACACAGTCAGCCATGTCGGGGCTCAACCCTATCAAGTTTAACCCAAAAGGTTTAGTGGAGCCAAACTTGGCTCGAGCCAGCTCAAGCCGAACGCATATATACAGCTATTTTTGCTGGCTTGAGCCGTAGGGCTCCGATTAATAATGTTGTGTGACGTAGCATAGGCACACAGATTAAACTTGAGTTGTTGATTGAGGCTAGCTGCCTAGCTT